GGGCCCCGGGCCGGGCGGGGGCCCCCCCCCCCCCCTGCCCCCTCTGAGTGCACATTTTTGTGCACCGAGCCTCTAGTAATCTATAAAAGAACAAATTAATAAACTACTTCATCAAAATTTAAAATTTCTGCTCAAGGCATGGTTAAAAGAATACAAATTGCAGTTATATGCAATTAATAAATCTAGTTATCTAATATATAACATGGCTATAGTTAATATACTGAATTGAATACTAGAAATTTGTTAAGACAGATTTCAGTTGGTTTCATTACCAAAAAAGATAACTATGTGAGATGATGTTAATTAGTTTTCCCCACAGTAATCATTTTGCTATCTATACCAAATCATTACATTGTACACCTTAACTGGGAGAAAATCTTTGTAAAGCCTATGTCTGATAAAGGACTTGTATTCTATATACATATATATAGAATATACATTAATATAAAACATTAACATAGCCTATACTATAATATAGTATATTATAACCTCCAAAACTCAACAGTAAGAAAATATATATAATCTAATAAAAAACTGAACAAAAGATTTAAATACACACTTCACCAAGGAAGAGATAGAATGGCAAATAAACGCATGCAAAGATGCTCAATACCATTAGTTACTAGGGAAATGCTAGTTAAAAACCACAGAGGGATACCACTATACACCTATTAGAAAACTGAAATTTAAAAAGATTGACCATGCCAAGTGTTGGTCAGGATTTGGAGAAATTGGGACTCTCATATATGTCAGGTGAAATAGACTTCGGCAGTTTCTTGAAAAGTTAAATGTACTCCTACCACATGATTTAGCAATTCCACTCCTAAGTATTTACCCCAAATAAATAAAATATATGTCCATGAAAAGACTTGACATGAATGTTCACAGCAGCGTTATGTATAATAGCCAAAAACTATAATCAAACCAAATGTCCGTCAAAAGATGAGTGAATACACAAATTGTGGTGTATCAACACAAGGAAATACTACTCCCCAATAAAACAAATAGCCCTAACTGGTTTGGCTCAGTGGATAAAGCATCGGCCTGCGGACTGAAAGGTCCCAGGTTCGATTCCGGTCAAGGGCATGTACCTTGGTTGCGGGCACATCCCCAGGAGGGGGTGTGCAGGAGGCAGCTGATCGATGTTTCTCTCATCGATGTTTCTGACTTTCTATCCCTCTCCCTTCCTCTCTATAAAAAATCAATAAAATATATTTTTAAAAAAACAAAAATAAAAAGAAATCATATACTGATACATGTGATAACAGTGATGAACCTCAAACTAAAAAAGAAGCCAGGCCAAAACCCACCACAAACTGTGTAAGTCCATTTGTATTAAATTCTAGAAAATGCAAACAAACCTACAGTGATAGAAAAGAGATCAGTGGTTGTTTGGGGAGAGAGGGGGTTAACAAAGGGGATGGAGGAAACTTTTTGAGGGTGATGGACATGATCTTGATTGTGATGATATCATAACATCAAAACTTGCCATATTGTACACTTAAATAAGTGCAGTTTATTGTATGTTATCTCAACAAAGCTGTTAAATATTATAAACTATTGTTTTTATTAATAATCAACTTACAGATTAAAGTCATTTGTGTCCTAAATAAGACCATGTGTGCAACTGTAATAATGGGTTCTTCCTGTTGCATTTTCCTACCACTAATGATGTTGAGGGCCTTTTCATGTGCTTATTGGCCATTTGTGTATCTTCTTTGGAGAAATGTCTATTCAGATGTTTTATCCATTTTAAAACTGAGATATTGTTCTACCATCAATTCGTTAAGAGTTCTTTATATATTTTAGATACAAATCCCTTATCAGACATGTAACTAGAAAATGTTTTCTTCCATTTTATGGGTTATTTTTTTCAGTTTTTGATGGTGTCTTTTGAAGCAAAGATAAAGGTCAATTTATACTTTTCTTTTTCATTTCTAACTTTTGTTGTCTTATCTAAGAAGCCTATGACTTAGCCAAGGTCATTACAATTTATTCTTATATTTATTCAAAGATCTTTATAATCTTAGCTCTTAAATTCATTTTGAGTTAATTTTTGTATTTGGTGTGAAGTAGGGGTTAAACTTCATTTTCCTGTATGGATATCCAGCTGCCAAGCATCACTTGAAAACTATTTTTCCTCATTGAATTGTCTTAGCATTCTTATAAAAAACTTATTTACTTGTTTTTTTACAAGAATGTAAGGGTTGCTTGCCCTAGCCAGTTTGGCTCAGTGGATTGAGCGTCAACCTGCAGACTAAAGGGTCCCAGGTTTGATTCCGGTCAAGGGCACATGCTCAGGTTGCGGGCTCGATCCTCAGTGGGGAGCGCGCAAGAGGCAGCTAATCAATGATTCTCTCTCATCATTGATGTTTCTATCTCTCTCCCCCTCTTCCTTCCTCTCTGAAATTAATAAAAAATATATTTTAAAAAAAAGAAGAATGTAAGAGTTTACTTCTGGACTCTCAATTCAATTCCACTGATCTAAGTCTTCTCTCTTTATGCCAATACCTTACCTCACTGTTGGATCTGTACTGTTATGAAATCAAAAGTGTAAGTCCTCCAACTTTCTTTTTTAAGACTATTATAGCTAGTCCAGGTCATCTGCATTTCCATATGGATTATAGGATCAGCTTGTCCATTTCTGCAAAAATCCTACTTGGGATTTTGGTACGGGCTGCATTAAATCTATAGGGCAATATGGGGAATACTGAATTCTTAACAATATTAAGTTTTCTGATCCACGAACATGAGATACCTTTCCATTTATTTAGATCTTATTCAGTTTTTCACATTGCTTTGTTACCTTCAGAATGGAAAGTTTGTGCTTCTTTCGTTAAATTTATTCCTAAGTACTTAAATCTTTCTAATGCTATTATAAATGAAATTGGTTGCTGGATTTAATTTTCACATTGTTCATTGCTAGAGTATAAAAATATAATTGATTTTTTATATTGATTTTATACCCTAGAATCTTGTTGAACTTATTACCTCTAATACTTTTTTAGTGGAGTCCTTATAACTTTTCTCTACACAAGTTAATGGCATCTTCAAATAGAGATAGTTTTAATTATTCTTTTTAAATTTGGATGTCTTTTATTTCTTTTTCCTGCCAGTTGTTCTGTCTAGAGCCTCTAATACAATTACAATGTTGAAAAGTGGCAAGAATAAAATGCTGCCCTGGCCAGGTAGCTCAGTTGTTTAGAGCAGTGATGGCGAACCTTTTGAGCTCGGCGTGTCAGCATTTTGAAAAACCCTAACTTAACTCTGGTTCTGTGTCACATATAGAAATTTTTTGATATTTGCAACCATAGTAAAACAAAGATTTATATTTTTGATATTTATTTTATATATTTAAATGCCATTTAACAAAGAAAAATCAACCAAAAAAATGAGTTCGCGTGTCACCTCTGACACGCGTGTCATAGGTTTGCCATCACTGGTCTAGCCTAAGGTTCATGTGCTATTGGGAAGAATATATATTCTATTGTTGGGTGAAGTGTTCTGTAGATGTCTACTAGGTCTGTCTGTTTATACTACTCAAGTATTTTATTTCCTTGTTATCTTCCTATTTGTTCTGTCCATTATTGAAAGTTGGGTACTGAAGTCTCAAACTATTAATACTGAATTGTCTTTTTTCTCTTTTCAATTTGGATAGTTTTTGCTTCATATATTTTGGTGCTCTACTGTTACATGCAATTATGTGTATAACTGTTCTATCTTTTTGATGTATTGACCCTTATATCCTCATAAAAATCTTCTCTTTGTCTCTAGAAACATAAATTAAGATGATATAGAATATAACAAGAAAATTTACATTATAAGTAAACAAGAAATTTGTTCACTGAAAATTTAGGGAACAGTGCTTCCACCATGACCCAGAACTCTTGAGGTCTTTAACTAAGGAAGGTATTCGCTTATCCAAAAACTTCTCCTCCGGTCTTCTAAAGGCAAATTACTTTGCCTTTCTTTTCAGGTTAGAATCGTTGGAAGTTTTACTCTTGCTCTATTCTATCACCTCCCCCTCCCCCCCTCCATAAAATCCTATTTTTGTAATGTTTACTAGCTAGTTCTAAATTTTTAAGACTTTAGCATACTCAATACCACAATATGTGATTTAGACCTAATTCTTAATGATGGCCTTAATGATGAGACTCATTATAATTATTTGAAGATTCCATTATCTTGTAGCCAATGTTTCCAGAATCCTAGCACCAAGACCCTGACAGTATTTATGAGATGATTTATATAGTCTAATTCCAAACTATGATCAATAGTATCAGATTTAAAGATTACATGTTCTACTTATTTTATCAGATTATACACAGTACTTCTAACTTACTTCTAGAGGTTAACCATAGGAAGATACTTTCCACCTATGATGATTAACAAAAGTTAATTTCCATTAACCCTAAGGAAGGAATTTTTTAAACAGTGACTTCCACAAGTGTACTGAAAATGTGACTCATTATTTTTAAAAGTATGCAGACAGCTTGTGTAGGATATTTCTCTAAATGACAGCAACACCCCTATCTTCCATTGCTGGTTTCAAGCCTCTCTTCAAAAAAGAGATGTTGGGGGCTTTCCTCAATGTCTGGAGGTCTAGCTATCTGTTTACATTAAAGAGTTATGACCTGTAAACCCTGTATGCAATAGCAGTTTATTTTAACTAGTGGAATTCATCAAAGGGTGACCTGGTAGCGAGACAGCTTTTTCATAATGGGCCCCTGAAAATCTCTATTTATAGGTCTTTCTCTATGTCCACTCAATGTCTCCAGAGCTTTTAACTTTGTATCAGAAAATATATGTCTGGTTGACAGGCATTCTGCAAACAGGGTTAGAGAAGGGAGCTAGGGATTGCATCTTTCAGTATGTAAACTTACATTTAGTCCCTGGCTACCAGATTTCTTGGAGATAAGCAGAATAGTGATACTCTTAGATTTCAATAATCAATAGGTACATTTCCACTTAATCACTTTATTGATAGACTGATATACCTATCTTTTGCTGTGCCAGGTATTCCTGAATCTAACTCTTCAGTTCAATTTCTACAGGAAATAAGCTTCCATTCTCCTTTGCAAAATGTAGGTGTGGTAGTTGAGTATACTATGTGGAATGGAAGACTAGATCTGTTGAGTTTTACAACTTCTTTCAATAATTTTTCCAATATGCAAACAAAATATTTTTCTATTTAAACAGATTCATTGTGAAATTAAAATGCAATTGGGAAAAAACCATCCCAAATTAAACGTTTAATTCCATAAAAATACATAAATCTACATGATTCAATAAGGTTCAACAATGTAGTCCAAAGTTATAAGAAAACTTTGTAATAAGCTAGTATTTTGTAAAATTGGGAGGGAGCTAGGTTATAAGGAAAAAGTAGAGAGCCATGATGAAACTAAGAAATAAAAAGGAAAAGTGGGGTGGGGTGGGAGAGAAGCATTACATTTTAGTGCCAATATTCAGATGGAATATACTAATATGATATTTGAAATAGAAAAGTATTCCCATGCATGTAAAAGTTGTTTGTTTTTTTTCTTAATCCTCACCCGAGGATATTTTTTCCATTGATTTTTAAAGAGAGTGGAGGGAGGGAGGGAGAGAAACAGAGAAAGAAACATCGATGTCAGAGAGACACATCGATTGGTTGCTTTCTGCAGGTGCTCTATCAGGACCAGGGACCGAGCCTGCAACTGAGGTATGTGCCCCTGACCGTAATCGAACCCAAGACTCTTCATTCCACGGGCCAATGCTCCAACCACTGAGCCAAACCAGCCAGGGCCACCCATACAACAGTTTTAAAAAATTATTTGAAAACATTACACAGCTACAGATTACTTCATAGTCTTTCATAACTTCAGCAAAAATAAGCACAATTAGAGTTAACTTATTTTTTTCCACAAAGGCTTATTTGTAACTTTAAAAAATTTTAGGCATCCACTCTAGCTTTTTATTAGGACATGTCAAAACAGAACACTGACTATTAATCACAGGTTTCTGGTGTTTAAGATTCTACATATGAGTGATGCCATGTGGTATTTGTTTTTAGCTTAGTTCTCTTAGCACAAAGCCCTTTAGGTTGGCAACTGTCACAAAACAGAGGTTTCTAATGAACAATTCAGAATTCCATCTAATGAGTTAGCTATTCTAAATAAAAAAAGGATCAATTAATAAACTGGTATATGAAATAAACCACTTTGTTCCTGGTCTATAAACAATTGTGCCGTGAAATCAGAGCTATTACAATAATTTTCTTTTAATAACACTGATTATATACTTTTCAACACCAGTTTATCAAGTGGAGAGAAAAAAAGGGAGTTCCCCCTCAACCCCAAGAAACATTTTCAGTTCTAGAAAATGATTCTACCAAATAACACTGCAATAAGTGGGCCATTGTCTGGAATTTAGAATGAGTCTTTGTTAGATAATTAGGAGCCATTATTATTTAAAGTAAGAATATGTCTTTTTTCACAAGAAACTTTCATTTCCTTTTAAAAAAATTACTCACTGAGGGCTCTGGTTAGAGTCCGATTCCCTGTCAAAGACTTGTACCAGGGTTGCAAGTTCTATCCCTGGCCACAGTTGGGGGTACCAATTGATGTGCCCCTCTCACACAGATGTTTTTCACTCTCTCTTTCCTCCCACCTCCATCCTTCCCTTCCACTCTCTCTAAAAACCAATAAAAAGAATACCCTTAGGTGAGGATTAATAAAATAAAACAAAACAAAAAAATAGCCAAAAAGTCATTTAGATAATTATTCTTGTTATATAATTAGTGATTATATAACTTTAGAAAGTGCACTTTATCCAGCGGAGGGAGGAAAATGTACTACTTACATTTTTCCTTATTGCCATTGGTATTATGCAAGAAGTCTCCATCAGAACGCGTTGTAGGAAAGTCATCTTCATCATCTTCTACCACTAAATAAAATATATTTAAGGATATTAGGATGAAAGAAAATAGAAATTAACCAATTTATTCTTAGGTTCAATTGAGTCAATACATTCTTGATTCTTTTGAGTGCAAGATCTAATTCATTTTTGTATTTTCAGTGCTTATTAAAGTATGCCCAACAAATATGCTATAGAATTTAATACATTATTATAAAAACTGTACGCATTCTGCCCTAACCGGTTTGGCTCAGTGGATAGAGCGTCAGCCTGCGGACTCAAGGGTCCCAGGTTCGATTCCGGTCAAGGGCATGTACCTTGGTTGCAGGCACATCCCCAGT